GATACTGACAACGTAACAGTGGTACAAAAATGTTTAATCGCAGAACTCCATATATTGCAAGGATTCGTGAATCATTTATTTTGGAAAGGTCGTTTTATCCCGCTACTTGGTATGGAAACGGCTTTAAAATGGCTCATAGTTTGAACCTAGTCTCGAATAATTATCATGGGGAAGTGTTTGAAGAAAATGCGTGTTGAAAACTATTGAAATCATCAGACAAATTACTAGATCGTGAAATCTGCCAGCATGAAGGGGGGTTATTCCCTCTTCGTCCATTTGTGGCAGCATTTAAAGCCATGGATCAAATCGTTCATTCTTGAAGAAAGCTCTTCTTGCTATCAATGTGACCGAAACACTGAAAAGTCATATTATACTAACACATATCCAAAAATCACTTGAATTTCTAGGCGAAGAGGCAGGAAGGTTTCAGTTTGTGGTCCAAGCATCACAAATTTCGAAAGTTTTGGAATCGACCAAAACTGAATAATATGAAAGATCCAAACTACCATATAAAACTGAAGAAAGCTGTCGTTGACTTTTCTTCTAAACACATATAATGTTGGTCTAGAAACTGATTTAACGTATGTAACATAAGTTTTGAGACAAATTTCGTAACTCATTTTGATCACTTTGAAAAGATTTAGTCTAGTTATCATTGCCTGGAATTTATTCATTGTTATCATAAATATTGAAATCCGACAACCGGGGGTTGATAATTACTTTAAATAATTCTTATATATTACATATTATATTCAAAATTTTTATTTCGAATTCAAACATCATCCCAGCGTATCCCGCCTCGTAGGCGCCGTTAAATTAGTTCTGGGAAAAACGGTCATATGTCACCGATAGGGTTATATTCAGGAATTAATACAGGGCTTTATAGTCTTTATACACCAAAGCCACAGTCGGTCTCTGTCTGATACATTTGCTTATATGGGAAATTTAAGTTTAAATACCCGGGTTTTTGTGGGCTGGGGGAACATTAGCTTTTTCTTCTTCGCCGAGTCGAGTTAACAAAAAACGCAAATATCCAGGTTACCGTCACGGTGACTCCTTTTTCTTTATATTCTTCAAATATAATTAAAAAGAGATATCGCTACCCTTACGGTGGCCGCGCTTTTGTTATATTTTGACAACGGAAATAAAAGATATCGACGGAGTAGAGAAATTAGTTTCTATAAACGACGGCTTCTGCATAGATATCCAGTTATCCTTAGGATGACCACCTTTTTCTTATATTTTATATATAAGTAAAAGGAGATATATAGTCAGGTTGACCAAGCAGATACACGTTGAGTAGAACCAGATTTCGCTCCTAGAACTGTTTTGTAAAGTTGTATCTACCGAGCGACTAAATATTGGCGTAACTAATACTGGTGATACCTCGCTAGTCTAGTTAAACGCCAGATATTTTGTATCTCCGGTTCAACATTATAAAATATGTTACTAAATGATTAAAAGTACTACTCTATAGGCGACGTTCGTAGTGGATTTCGTCACCCTTCTGGCTGACCCGACGAACTTGCGCCAGGTAGACACTTTTATCAGCGGTATACTTTTTTCTGTAAGGTTTCTTTTACGTAGAATTAAAACGATAATCGCACTATTAAAGTAATCAAACTAGTATTTAATATTCAGATATTCCGGGGGAGAATTTAGACAAACATTAATAGGTCACAGGTATAACTTTATTACTTTTATATTCATTAGCGGGAAAATTCGCGTCTGTGTGTTATTGTCATATTTTTGGTATTCATTGGTAAACGTTTATTGTGGGAAAAATTATAGGGTTTTTATATTGTGCTAAATTATGTTATTTAGAGAATCGATAGTGATGTTGTTGTCATAAATATTAATTGTTCTAAAGTCGGTCAATGCTCTCAAGCAATAAATTAAGTCATTTAGATTTATGGCCAAAGGGCCGAATTGTAAAGTTTCGGTTGTCTGTAAGCAGTACCTGCCCCTTTCAGTAAAGATAAAAAGCACTTTCGGTTTTACTTTTAAATGGCAAACAGATGTAGATTAGTAGGGTAAACGCCTTGATTTGTATATATTTTACAGTTAGATTGCGGTTAAAAAATATGCTTTTTGTCGTTCTTTGTAAAACAAAATTGGGTAGACAAATGTGTCATTTTAGCCGTACGGAATTAGTTTTGTGTATCGAATTTTCGGGAAAAAGGAGATATGTACAGCGGCGGGTAGAATCATGAATATTGAGGAGGGTCGTATTTATTTGTACATATCCACATATCTTTAGCAGGACATTACGCGGAAGTTTCTGGACATCAATTCAACCATTTACCATTTAACACTTGCGTCATTATCGTACCGAACCTTTCTTTCTTTTCCTGACACCTGTGGGGTCCTCTTTCTTTCATTTTCAAACATAAGTAGCAATAGGTAAGTCATCACAATCTATACTATTAGCAATTTTATATAAGTTTTAAGTAATAATAATATTGTTATTAATTTCTATCATAATTAGATAGAAAGGTTTAAGGAAGATAGCTGTGAAACCGTGGCTAGGCAATACAACAAGTTGGTTGAATCTGACAGTAAGATAATAATTTTGCCAGTTATATATTGAACTGCACTTTTAATAATACAATTGTCTTTGTATACTTGCAAATATGCCAGATAGTTAATTTTAATGTACCCCAATAGAACTGCGAGTACCTGCAAAAAGCTATACCTAATACATGATTCTGGAACAAAAGTAATGAGAAATATGAAAACACTTACGAAGCATATAGTGACATTTGCTAATCGGGAAAGCAACACTTCTTGTTAGCTAGAAAAATTACTTTTTTAAGACCGACCAGAAAGTATACACTTTCTGAACAATTTTTCGTCCAGAAAATAATGTTTTGCCGATCAAGACCAGAAAGTAGACGTTAGGGACCGTTGTTGTTCTAAGTTAGTTTTTAAATTCTCTAAAGTAGTTTTTAAGTGTTCTTGCTGCTGCTCTTGTTGTTGTGCTAGGAGATCTACTCGACTGTTTAGCTGACCTACCTCTTGCCTGAAATTTTCTTGAATTTGCACTAAGCCATTTATAATCTCCACCTCTGCTTTTCTATGCCTTTCTCCTTCTCCTCTTCTAGCCTTTTCTTTTCCTTCCTACGCCTTTCCTTTTCCTCCTCTTCTTCCTTTCTACGCCTTTCCATTTCCTCCTCTTCTTCCTTCCTACGCCTTTTCTTTTCCTCTTCCATCTTCGAAAACCATGCTGGTGGGCCTGACGTATCCATATCCGTTTCGTACACAGTGAGTAACGTTTATTTTATATCCCACCGCTGTCACCAATGTTACACAGGTTTTTGGTATCACAACTTATTTCAACTTAACTTTAACAACAATTGTACAACTGATAACATTAACATGTAGCGTCTATCATAAAACTGAAAACTGATGTCAGGATCATCCTTATATAGTTTGCGACCCTTCTCGAACTGTCATCTAGAATATTCTTGACGGGTAATGACATTTCCAGACATTTCTGGATTATTCTGTCTTCTTTTACTTGTACTTTTACTTATAACGACCGCAGCACACGGTAGGGCGATGAGTAACATTCCACTTCTTTTTCTATCTGTACGTTTCCTATAATAGCCGCAGGCTACTACAGGGTGCTGCGTAACAATAGGTCTTTTCCTTTGCATCGACAGTGTAGCACTGAGCTACGTCACTTCTGAAAATATTGTTCCATCCATACAATTTGTATAAATGGAACGATATTTTCAGAAGTGGTGTAGCTCAGTGCTACACTTTCGATGCAAAGGAAAAGACCTCTTATGTTAACAACGTTCCGATTTGTTGCCAAGTGACAGTTCGTTGATTTTTAATTTGTTGTTTATGTCACGTAAGACCGGGAAGTAGTGTTTTGCAGGTTCAGATAAGCAGATTCTAATTTTCGGTCGTATGACGTACCTACAATATTTTTTTAAGACCGACACTTCGACGTAAACTTAATTATTTATTGTATTTAATAAAGTGATTAACAAATGCTAAAACTAACCAAATACATTATTTTCGAATATTTATGTTAAATGTACATTTTTGCTGCTTCCAAAATTTCTTTTGAAATTTCATTTTCTGTCAGATAATTCAAAATCTGAATTTATATTTTTATATTTGCGAAAACAAGTTTGACATAAGCAACAAATTTAAGGTTTGTTCCAACATAAACCAAATCAGGTTGCATACTGTCCGGTTTCTGCACAGTCTAGAATTCGTGTTCCAACAAACCTTAGACTCAAAACTGTACAAAAACATAGTGTTCCAACACAACCAAAACTAATCACAAACCGATTTGTGTACTGTCAAATCAATTCCTGGGTCTGAATAGGAACGAATTGTCAAGACATGCGCAAAACCGCAATAAACTGAACATTTCGTGATTGTAATTATATTATTTGTATCTATTATTGTCTCTGACAGTTCCGATTTGTATTTGTTAATCAAGTTTAGTCTTCATTGTTTTATTTTGTGGTTTATTATTGTAATAGTACGTCTGTTGAATTTAAAAAATGTGTTCCAACATAATCGAGTTCCGAGTTGAATCCCAATCCCCGACCAATACCTGACAGTTTGTCAATTACTAGTCGTCGACAGATTGTTAACAATAAGTTTTGGACTGGTTTATGTATTGTTCCAAGAGCGTTGTTGGAACAAACCTTAAAAATCAACGAACTTGGCAATAAATCGGAACGTTGTTACCATAGTAACGAAATCAAGGCAGACTGTATTATCAAACAGCGATCGGAAAAATGAAAAAGAGGGACCGGTAAAGCTTTTACCGGTCCCTAACGTCTACTTTCCAGTCTTAATCGGCAAAACGTTACTTTCTGGACGAATAATTGTCCAGAAAGTGTAAACTTTCTGGTCGGTTTTAAAAAATTACTATTCCAGGCTAGCCGTGAAAGTGAAGCAATACGACGCTTCCCGAGACTGTTTCGAAGGACTTAAATCTACAGATTACTAACCGATTGTAAGTAAACACATTTAAAAAGTAATCTTTATTTAAAAAATTTAAAAAAATAAATACACTTCTATCTGACCACATATTTTTTCTAATGAAATATATTATGTATCAAACACTTTGTACCATTACCATAAATTTTTGTTAATTCTGTAGTGATTTGTCTTAAAATCTCATTATTTTTTCTCATTTGATCTTTGTACTTGATATTTTGAACTTTCTTTTTCTTAACACCAGGTTTGTGTGTCAGAAAACAGTTATTAAACACCAAAAAGTCATAGTCCAATAGACAGAGATGATATGCCTAAAAATACAAAAAAAAAATAACAGAGTGGAACAAAAATTATCTCTTAAATGGGTTATCCGAATTGTACAAAATTTGATATAAACCTATTTTGGGATAAGGAGATTCCAGATTTGACATTTGCAATGTTGCCAGATTAACTATTATTCTGATATTATTAATGACTAATAATTTAGCAACAATGAAAATTTCAAATGTGGCATCTGCGTAACCCAAAATAGTCTTGTCCTGTACAATTCAGAATTCTCATTACGAGGCGTTTCTAGTATTTTGTTCCACTCCGTATTTATAAATTTACATATTTTTAAAAAATTCCAGTCTCTCTTGTTACTTATTATATAGTTCCCACTAACCTCACACATTTTGTTTCCCTGTCCTTCCCAATTTAGTCTTTCATCCCAAAGTGGTTCTTTTTGCGTACAAAGGAAAAATGGTTCCCATATTTTTTGTTTATCTTGTCTTTTTGTAACCGTAAAAATGTTTAAACCATTAGTTTCCTGTTCTGCTATCCATTCTGCACTTTTTGGCACAGCATGACAACTCCGACATACTTCATGATGGAACCAGAAGGCAGTCTTGTTATTTATCATTTCTTGTAGTTTAGTTTTATTCTCTGGAATCTAAAATATTTTTTATAACATATAGTATAATAGTATATTCCTCGACGACCATATAGAAGAGTAGAATAAGCTATAGTTCCTCCACGATTATTATTTAGGATAGTAAAAAATAAACCATGTAGTCATAGGGATATGTTTAAAAGGTACACTTACTTCGTATCCCTCTTGAATTTCAAAGAGCGGAAAAACAAAAACATTTCGTGAACTCTTTTCAAAATATTCGGGATGGTGTCTGGTGAAATTGAAAAATTTCGATATGAAATGTCTTGTTGGATATAATTCGATGTCGGAAGGAAAAACGAAATGCGTCTGGGCGTTTAATTTGGCTACGTTTCTTGCGACGTTTATAGGATAAAACAATCCTGTTCTTTGTTTGTACATTTCCTCGTCTTTAATGGTTTGGAATGGTGGTTTCTGTTCGCAGTTGAATTCGTCTTGGTAGATGTTAATTAGTGGTTCATCGTGCTAAAACATAAAATATCTTTAACAATTTAAAGGGTAAATGCTTTTTAATAAGGTTCAGTCCAACGTTAGTAAAAAACTAAATACCAAGCCTTGAAACTCATTTTATAAGTTTTCCTATTGGTCTAAAGCAGGGGTTTCCAACCTTTCTGGATTCATTGCTCTCTAGGAGCTAAATTTGTCAGTCCCTCACTATTATTTTCGAAAAGCACTGTTATCTACATATTTTTTTAATTCATAAAATAATTTTGTATACGTGGATACCTATAGTTGAAGAAATATATTGTAATGTGTAACATTTTAAAAGTCTAATTATAAAATGTTATTTTAAATGTGTGCCATCCGGTATAATTTAATTATCACCAACACACAATATTCTAAAGAAAGGGATATTTCTTGAAGTGGGAGTACCACTAACCAAACGATCTCAAATTAGATTTGTAAATTTCATTTTATTATTACCTTTTGATTGTATCGGTGGTGCATTTGGCTGTTAAAGTGGTAAGCATAAAAAGTATATAATGTCTTTATTAAATATCTCAGTAGAAATATTATTCAAACCTTTTGTTAATTATTAGTTTTTTAATAGTAAAGTTAAATATATTTTTATGATTCATTCTGGTTGATAGAACGGCACAATATGTATAGTCACTAGTTTTTATTATCTGATTGGTTCATTTTTTAAAAAAAAAGTAGATGTTTCAAATTTATATATCGTACCATAAGCCATAACGACATAAGCCCTAACGTCATAAAACCATAATTCAACCGCTGTAATCTGAACGTTGGTTCTCGAGGAGCAGAAATCTCTTGTGAAAAGTTAGTTGATTGGAAAAGCGACAGCTACAATTCGAAGCTTCATAAGAAGAAAGATTAACCGACAAAGGCGTTGGTTTCCGAGGGACAGAAATCTCAACTACCTATGGCTATCTAGAAGTGGTTAGCTAACAAAACAAAAATGTGGTAATTACTAGTGACTAGAATTATTTATGTACGAATCAAAATTTGATACCTGATAACTGTGAATAATTTGTTTTCGAAAAGGTTTCTTGTTTTTTTTTTAAATATAATCATTAATTTTTATAAGTATATATGTTGAATCTTATTTTTTAAAGGTCACAAAAATTCTCTTTCATTCACTAAATTCTGTATAATTTTTATTAACTTCTTTTTATTGATAAAGCTAGAATTTATAATTATCCTAGCTTTTAAAAATAAAAAAGAGAATTATTCGTGCCCAACATTTCCTAGAAAGATTACTACCCTTAAAATTGTCTATTTGAAAAGCCGAATTCACGACCGAGAAAAGGATGTGCTCATTTATTTTTTTTTTTTATTTTTAAAGGTAAGAACGTTTGATATTAAATTTTACTGAGCTAGTAAAAATCTATAAGTGTTTTGAAATTAACATTTATCAAAAAGGTAACAAAAAATATTGCAAATTGTAGCCTAACGGGTCAATAGAATATTGCAAATGCTAGCCATTTTCGACCAGTCCGGACATGATCTAATCGTTTAAGTTCCTCTCTACCTTATTTGGGCTTTTAAGGCCCCACTCATCCGATTGTCAAATATATTTAAAGAAATAAGCCAACCCCCGGTGCTACGCATATAGCTAGTCATAATCATTCAAAGAATACACTATAACGACGACGAATATGGTAAATGCATAATCGATAAATTGCCGGAGGTAACAGTCTAATAAATGGTAAGAGCGAGAATAATCTAGAGCCTACCCCAGGCAGCAGGCTGACGACATTTTGACGACATTTTTTGGTAATTCTTGGTCATCGACGTCTTGTTACCAAAAAATGAGGTGATTATAACGTCACTTCTTTAACGTCTTTTTGACGTCTTAAATTCGACGTCAGTATGACGTCAATTTATTGTCACTATTAAATTAAGGTTTATATTAAACGTGATTTCAATACATTTTATTTATGTAAAATAATATGGCCTAAACAATTATTTTTTAAAACTGTGAGGTCTATTAACGTTTTAATCTGGCGCTTAACGCCCGTATGCACCGTACACGTTTAATTCAGATCAAGGGTTTAATCGCGTTTAGTACCATAGCTAAAAATGGTACTAAACGCGATTAAACCCTTGATCTGGATTAAACGTGTACGGTGGATACGGGCGTAAATGCATAAAGACTGATGACACCACGTGACACATGACTGCGTCTGTCTATGGTTATCGGTCTGTGGAGTATGGCTCGTGTGTGTTCGAACCGTTCGAGCAAGCACGAGAACGGTATCGCAGATTGTTGCATCGGCCATGTGTAATTGTGTGTGCATCGTGGATCGTAGCCCGTGTGCATTCAGGATTGTTGTTAAAAGTTAAGAGGGCCAGTGAAAAAAGTTATATTAGTATCAACCCAGCATAAGGTATTTTTATATCTATATTATCCTTATTCTTTAATGCTTTTATATCTTTTACATTCATAGGATGTTTCCTAAAATATTCCCAGGTTCGTGAAATAGTATAAAATGGCCGCACTTATTGTGTCAAACCAAAATAATAACGAACAAGTTGGCCACATTTGGAGCAGTTGGATTTATATAAATTAATGTTTTTTGCCAATAACATTTCATGTATTTAAACTTTTTTTCTTTTTAATTATAATTATTTCATTTTCTAATTTTGTTTTATTAAGTGACCCACAGTTCCTATAGAAAAGTTACAAAGGAGTAACAATATCAAATGTAACGTCATAGTGACTTCTCAAATAAGTATAAAGAATAACCTCAGAGTAAGTAAGTAGTAAAGAGAGGACAGTAAACAATGTTTGTGTCGCCATGATAATATGGTCGAGAATTCTAATTAGAGAGAAATAGATTAATATCTCTATCTCTTTGTTTGTATTTGTCAGTTTTACAAAGCTTTTCTCAGACAATTATTCCAGTGTTTAATTTAAATTTGTTCGTGTTGTGGTGTTAAAAGTAATTGTTATTAATATTATATTCATAACAAAAAAGTCATATTTTGTTTTCACTTCATTAAAAATGCACCTACCTACCTACCTACCTTTTAAAACATTTTATTTTATATTCTATTTGGTCAACATTTTCGCATTTAAAATGACCCAGCGAAATTGTTTTACGGTACGCTACTGCTGAGAATTCTAAAACGAATGAGAAAGCCTTCATTAGAAAGAGAGATACTGATTATATGATAGCGAGATTAATATTGTATAACTTTATGCAGTGGTGGCCTATCTGCTATTATATTATCTAAGAGAATAACGACAAAGGTGACATTAAAACAACGTCATAAACACGTCTTATTTAGACGTGAAAAGGGCGGCTAAATATGACGTCATTTAGGCTGTAACATATTCACGTTATTTTACCGTCATTATCACGTTAGTTTTCTGAGGATAAATGACGTCCTGTATGACGAAAATAAGATGTCATAATGACGTTAGTCTGCTGCCTTATATAAACAAGCTGTGTTTTATTGGAAGCAAAAGTCAGTTAAAGCCAAAATATAGTTGAAAATAGACATTCGAATTGTTATATAAACTAGAATATAATTGTGAAATATAAATACTGTTAATATATACGGTGTAGAACAGCCAAATGGAATAAATTCGGTAATAAATAAATGGGGACGTGTTCGTAAAAACGTTCGGACACATCGATTGGTATTTTGAGTTGAGCATTTTTTTTAACAAAAGATTTTTATACAGGGTGTTTCATGTAACAGTGGCCAATACCAATTCCGAACACGCCCTCATTTATTTATTACCGAATTTATTCCATTTGGCTGTTCCACACTGTATGTGTTTAAGTCTAAATAAATGAATTAGTATTTAGTGTAAATAAATGATAAATAAACTGTTTTAAACATATAAACGCTACAGTCGCTACACTATATAGTGCGAAGCTTATACAGGGTGTTTTTTAAACATGCGGCAAAAATGGGGGTTGTTCCTTGGACTATTCTAAGAATATTTTATTCTTTGATGATTTTTAAAATTCTGTTTCGTTTAGAACAACATTTTCAAGAAAACTATTTTTATTATTTTTAAAATTATTAATAGTCTAAATAAAAATAGGTACTAATTCGTTATTTTTATTATTTTTTCTACAACATTCCAATTACTAAAAACGGCTATATTTTCCACTTAACAAAACGGATTTTCAAAAATCATCAAAGGACAAAATATTCTTAGAATAGTCCAAGAAACAACCACTTGAATTTTTGCCGCATATTTAAAAAACACCCTGTATATTATAAGCTTTAAAGCCATGACGCATCTACAGGGTGTCGCTAAAATGTTTGTATAAATGCTAGCAAAAATTAGTCCAAAAGTTGATGGTGTCAAGTTATTATTTTTTAAACCTTTTGTAAATATTTATCTTAATACTAGCATATTATTTGAACGAAATATTAGTTTTTTAGGATGAGAAACTGGGGTATCACTAAAATGGTCGAAAAACATTTTATCGAATGACATTTGATGGTAACGTATTATTTTTAATATATGTTAAAGGTGCTCGCCCACTGAGGTGAAATGGTTATGTTCGCACACTTGCGCGACCTCGATAGAAGCGCCGCGCGGCGCGCAAAAATGTATTTTGTATTTGTTTATTATTTCAGTACCAACCTGTGAAAAGACATGAGTAGTTCTTCTTCGGACGAGGATCTTTTTGTGATGAGTTTGATGCCAGTATGGAGGAAGAAGAGCAACCAAAAAGAAGATTTTGGGTCCATGATATTAATAAAAAAAAAGATGATTTTGGCGTATTTCACCACCTGTTTTGCGACTTAAGAAAGTATAAAAAGAATTTTTTTAAATATTTTCGTATGTCCGAAGAAAAGTTTTACGAACTTCTTGGCTTAGTGAAGCATTCTATGAGACTTTTAATTAGCCTCTGGTTCAATTAAAGAAATCCCAAGTTATCAAAAAATATTTAATCGTCGCAACAAGTAAATATCACAATAAAACAATACAGAAAAGAAAACATTAAAAACTAGGTAGGTAGGTAGGTAGGTAATGTTTTCTGAAATATTTGGTCTGTATTATTTAGAGTAAACTGAACACCTTGAAAATTTATTATTTCTTTTCGCGATTCAAATTAATTTTCGCGCGCCTGTCAATTGTTACTTATAAGTAGGATGTTTGTTTTACATGTGTTTGTTTTGGGCGGGATTATGTATTTGTGATTTTTTAAGTGTTTTTTAGATAATATTCTCATTATAATAGTGTTTTTGAGTTTCATTAAGTGTTAATTTAAGTTTAGTTTTCGTGCGTTCGTCATAAATATATTTATCATATGTACCTGTGACCCAGGACATGTTTTATTATGTGGTTTACATTTCAGGTACCCAACATTTGTTATTGATGAATTTATTTAAAACTCTTACTATCCTTATTCTTATATTATGGAGTGAACTTGTATACATGTAAATGGTAATAAAACCGTCATAAATCAGATTGCAGTTTGATTCCAAACAAAATTTTGCAAAATCTCAATATTGTACCTACTTCGTACATATTTTATTTCAATTTTGAACCCTTTTAAAAGGGTCTTTCGGTTCCATAATAAAAGTTCGTCGCTGCTTACTAGAAACATTCTATATAGTCAAAATCAATTTATGGATTGTTTTCGATCAATTTAATATAAAGATTTAAAGTTTTTAGTCGATGATAACATTCCACATCAGCACATTGCAAACCTATTTTATAGATAATAAGAATAAACTTGTAAATCATTAATTTGGTAGTTATCTCACTAAATATATTTTGGCCTTACAATACGAAGCGTTTTGTATCTAACACTTTTTTTATTGAACGATGAATGTTGACAGGTGTGTACCTTTTTCGGATCAAGAGGCGTTTTAACGACGGAAATGATTTTCGAACTATCCAGTTAGTTTTCGGAAAACTATAAAACGTTTGAAGAAAATCCTCAGTAACATTAGCGTGTCGTTCATGTGTTTCATTTTGATCAGCTTTCATTCTAAACTGCATAGAATACTCTTCCTCCGATTCAAAATCGAGATTTTCGATATTTCCACAGTTTATTTATAAAACTTTCTAAACTGGCTTTATCAATCATTTTATATACTTTGTCCACGACCACTTAATAATAAATCAATATTCTACCTCCTAAGAGCATATGGTACCCATATATCACTAGCATGAATTATGATAATTCACGCTTTTGTAATTCTGGCACATTCCGGTAGGTGACTAAAGATGGGCGATACTTTTCATAACGATATTTTCTAAAGTGCACTTCAGATTTTGTGATTTATATATAATAAAATGAACACTGCTGAAAAACTGATTAATTCTATAAACAATGTCTCAATATCTAACCAGGTTTTTAAAAATATTCAAAATTCATCTAATAATTTTGATTTTAAATCCTTGCCTTCAATAAAATTCAAAAATTGTTCCGGTATTAACGTAACTATTAATGTAAATAATTATAAATACCTAGTTATTTATGCTGTTATCTTGTAAGTTAAGCATTCTTCTGTTAAACAACAACAGTTAGTTACCTATGTTTAATAAAAACTTTCCGTTCTACACTTCACTTTTCTTTAATAAAGAAATCATAATGGTCGTGGACAAGTACATATACTCGTAGTATTACACTCGTAATGTATGGCCATTTTTAATGGCTACCATAAATTGCTCGTTTAATAATATACTATTATATGTTCACGCCCTACTTAGAACTTTATTAACAATTTTACTTCAAAATGGGAGGATATTCTCAATTCGTTGAAATATTTTTTTATGTATGTTGAGCGATAATTCTTTACCACGTTTACCACGTAAAATTTCTTTAAACCATACTAGTTCGCACGCGGTAAGGAATGAAGAAATGTAAATAATTGTTGTGCCAGCCAAAAAGTGAAGAGGAAGTAACGATTAAAATATCGAGTGACACAAAGTTTTTTAAGTTCGTTGAGATCGGGTTTATGTTTAAAAATGCCTTGATGTATTTGAAAGTATACCCCATGCCAACTCCCCCAGTGACGTTACAAATGTTAAGTAAAGGACAATTTAACCCCTTCGCTACCATGTTCCCACAATGGCAACAAATGCATAGTGCCCAACTGTATCATATTGCCACTATGGCAACACGTTTACAAAACGCACAATGCTGCTTTCATGGGTCAGTATAATTTCATTGATAGTGTTTTAGCACTGGTTTATTCAAATTTTGTAGTGGAAGAAAATTTCTGATTAGTGCTCCCAAGGTCACGCATGCTGGTTATAAATAAATAACCATTGTTTTTTGCATTATAATAAATTATTATTTGTTTTTTGTCGTTTATAACCCTATCTTTGTATTATAAGCAAATATCTAAAAATAGAAATAAAAAAGAAAAATAAGTAAATACAGGGGTCGGCATAAGTCAGGCAACAAATTTGCAAAAAAAATGCAGCGTCAAAATTAATTTATTCGAAGAAATTACAAAGGGGATTCGAAAAAGGATTAGTTTAGTTGTTCAAATTGGTGCCTATCTTGATCAATGCATTGACGGCAACGTTTCACAACGGAGAGACAGGTCAGGCGAAGCATGTTAAAGTGTCCGCGAAAATTTTCAAATTTTTCTTCAATTGCAGTTCGGAGCTCGGCAAGGGTGCGTGGTCATGGGCGTCGTTTGGGGGGGACAAGGGGGGGCAGTTGCCCCCCCTGGCTTTTACGACTTTACAACGCGTAATGGCTGTATGTCACAATACTAAATTAAGTACTAAAATTTAGCTCTAAATTAAGTTATTAATTTAATACTAAATTTAGAACTAAAAATATTTTTTTCCTTTTGCAACGATACCAATTTTTAGTACTAAATTAGGTATAGGCGCACGCGCATTGACGTATTATTACGTGAAATTAACACAGAAGAAAAACATTCTATGTAAATGAGGCAAGTGAATTAAAAGATGTTTTTATTATGACTTTGACACTAGTTGACTTGACAACAACCAAATGCAGCAATGCTACTAAAAACCACGAAAGCACACAATAAAATTTACAAAATCAAACACAAGCGAAATTTGTCCAAGGTAATAAAGTAGGTAATGTTAAAATACCCGCATCTATTATAGTTGGCAACCCTGTCTGAATTAGTTACTTTTGTTTTATAAAGATGACTACCTGTATTGTTGTCTGTCAATGACAATGTCAATGTAAGTACTTCCAGTTTCCAGTAAATTAACCAACGAATGTGCGAACCTGACCTGAGTTGCTATTTTAATTTTAGTATTACTTGTTCAAATAGTTATTCGTTAATAAAAACCTTTCACCAAACTATTTCCACATTTTTTTCTCTAACAGATAAAAACAGAACAAAAAACAAAGAGCAATAGCAGCTGCTGTGTTGTAAATTGTAAAAATACTAGCAGAAAAACAGTGTAAATTATATAAATTTTCCGTAGCAAAATGGAAATTAAATCAAAGAAATAAATATATAGCTGTACAATTAGAAGAAAAAACGTTTATTTTTGTAATAATAACAGTAATACTGGAAATAGTAGATATCAGGAAATTCAAAGGTTTTAAATAAACAATAAATTATTATTTTACAATGTTGTGCAACATCCCTTAACTCTTAAATGGTCAGCAGGGATTAGATTTCTGCCTTTGATTATTGATGTGGCTGAAATGCAATTTTGCGACTTACTGAAAGGAAACCAATTTTAATCATTAATTTCTATGGGTTCGTTCGAACTAAAAATAAAGAAAATATAAATTACAATCGCAAATTTACCAATTATTTTTGTTAATACGTTTTGATACTACATTATATAATGATAATGTTTTTATTTTCACATTATTAAACCTATTCTTCAATGACAACTTATTAGGCTTATGCAACATATACAATACAAGTAATAAAAATATATAATAATAATAATAAATAATTTTTTCACTTTCACTTGTTTTACAAATCCATATACCTTTATTAAAATTAACATATATATTTTTTAATTAAGAATTCCATTAAAAATTGTATTGTCAGTATACTCAAATATCGTCCGTTAGTTCATGAATTAGTTGGCGCTGCTGTCACGCACAGAGCGAATAAAGAATGAAAATAGGCTGACTGCGCTTTGCATGATGAGCGTACATGATTTCTGTTATTGATTATTTTAGGTAGAGGAAGAAATTAAAAATTTGCGTTTTCCTAGTGTTCGTCGACGTGTTTGTGTGAGTTTTTTTGTTTTTGTGTTTCTAGAAATATTTTATTTTTTTTAATAATAATAATATAATAATAATACTTTCCCTAATTCACCCCCGTATGAGTGAATTTCAACCCCTGAAGTCGACTGAACGACTTGTGTAGGGGAAGGGACGGCTATTATTATTTGCCGTGGCGCTCCGGGGCGACTTAAAGATGATTGATGGTGCCATTTGACTTACAGGTGAGGAAAACCTGGAAAACCTCACCCACCATCATACAATGTATGACTCTGTCTTCTTGTTCATATTTTTCTTTTATTTCACACTTTCTGTTTGTTTTTTATAAATGTGTGTTTTAGGTTTTTTATTTTTTTATTTTAGTATTTGTCTTTTTTGTTGGGTTATTTTATTTATTAGAAACTTTTATTAATTTGTATTGCTCTTTTATTTTTAATTTTCTTTGTTTTTCAACAAATAACCATTCTAAATTTTGACAAAATTTTGCCCCTCCCCATAGATTTGTGTAACGACGCCCATGTGCGTGGTCCTTGATAAGGACCCACATGAAGAAATCGCAGGGTGTCAGGTCACAGGACCGTGCAAGCCACTCAAAGATTCCTCGTCTGCCTATCCATTCTCCAAAATAATCATTAAAGAACTCCCGCACACATAATGCGTAGTGCGGCGGCGAAGCTTCATCCTGCATGAAATGACGGATGTTCGTCAGTGTTGGATCGTTGTCCATTTGCCCACGTAAATCTTTGAGCATGCATTTCCAGATAACTTTGGCCAGACTTATACCGATTTTTCGAGCGTTGCCAGACTTATGCCGACCCCTGTATCTAAAAATAGAAAAAACAAAAAATATTTTTTTTTATTATAAATAAATAACTATTGTTTTTTTGCATTATAATAAAATATTATTTGATTTTTTTGCCGTTTTTATAATCCTCTATATCTATTTTCCATTAACATGGATATTTTCTTACACTTTCTATGAAATGTTCCTTTTTTTACATACAGAAGTAACGATAACTTAAATTTAAAATTAATTAGTTGCCACAGTCCAATTCAATCCAAAAAGTAAATAACACGAAGTGGTTCGCACTTTCGCTCAAGACACAAATGGGGGTGGGATATGGTTGCCAGACGCCACACATTAGGCGTGATTGCCACGCTTTTTCATTTGCTGCCACGCGCAACGCCTAAGTTCCCAAATGCCATATTTTTTAAATTCAAACTCATAAATAATGAATTTTCGATGAGAAAATAACTTTTTTCTACGATCAATATGCAAAGTTGGCTTTTGCACATTCAAATCAAACTAGAAAGTTGACGTTTTCCGCGAATTGTCATAATTTGACATTATTGGCACACACGTGCGTCAAACATGCGTCAAAGTAACTTTGGCACACGCTTGTCTATTTTCATTTAAATTAAATAAAATGAAGCTAATTGGTATTTTAAAACAAAATGTAGGCTAATCTAAAATATTTTCATTGATTTTCTAATATTTTAAATCATCCATCAGTATTTTCCATAAACAATTAAATGATTAAGTCATAAATAATTACCGACATAAGTACCAAAACATTTTTTCTCTTCGAAGAGTAGGCTTATGTCAAATAAATATTATAACGAAGGATGTGACCCGTTTCTAATAAAATTAAATATTTATTTTATTTTGTTGTGAACATAAAAAAAAATATCTTGTGTGTAAATTGAGCAGAAAGTCCTTTGGCAGTTTTGGGCAGATGGCCTCGCGCGGCAACTTTCTGTCTCAACTGCCAAAGTGCTACTTTCTGCTCTTAATACACAAAGAGCTATTTTTTGATCTACCCAGAAAAAAAAGACTTGTTTTTAAAAAATACTAGTAAACCACCTTTTTAGATCTTCACAGAAAAAAAAAAGGCGCAGACGACCTATTTTTTTAGATCTACATAAAAATAGGACCTGTATATAATATATCGCCTAGATATAAATATATATGTACATTAAAATGTAATGTGTTATTTCGTAAACCGTTGGTAACACGGAGTTGGTTAAATGTATATTTTGCATCCCAATCTGATGATGTTTTAAAACCTGAAATATCAGTACCTGGTTTCCGAGATATTCTATAAAAAACAAATTAGTTCCATTTTATTCAACTATTTAAAAATAGACAAAACTCATTAGGTTTTTGTTTTCTACCAAGTTGCGTTTTTGATACCGCATTTAATTTTCTTATCCGACGTTTCGTAAATACAGGACCATCATTAGCTTTTTTATTTAAATATGGGCCAGTGTTATTTCGAGAGCTCATTTTAAAGAATTTTTAATGCTGAATACAATATGATGTTACAAGATATTGCGATTAGGTAAAATTTTGGATTATTTGATCAACAGATATAAGTTTATTAGTACGGACCTGTATAATGTATAATTAATTTGTACAATTAATTTGTACAATTAATTTATACAATTAATTTAAGATAAGAATTTTCATTTTAAAAGCGAAACATAAATTTATTTCAACATGTTTTGTGAAGATTACAACCGTAGATTAAAATGTTGTCGTTGATAATTATAATAATACTCTCCCTAATTCACCCCCTTACGAGTGAATTTCAACCCCTGAAGTCGACTGAACGACTTGTGTAGGGGAAGGGACGGCTATTATTATTAGTAGATGTAATTGGCCGGTTCTGGAAATGAGAAAGAGGTACAGAGAGAGGCAATTCGGTAATTAGTAATTATCCTAAGTACCCCCCACCCTTCGCGCAATTAGCAAGTACCTCCCAATTACATCATGTACTGTAATAAGTGCAATTGCACAGTAAGTACCACCCAATTACATCATGTACTGTAATAAGTGCAATTGCACAGTAAGTACCTCCCAATTACCATGTACACGCCATACTGTAATGATTGTATTTGCATAATAAGTACCTCCCAATTACCCACAGGGTATACATCTCATTACTCCATACATATTAAAGTGTAAGTACACCTTAGGTAGTAATTACTGTATGCAATGTAGTGTAATGAATGTTATCTAACTGCCTCCTAGTGATTAATGTTGGTAGCACGTCCTTAACTCTCAGCCGGCGTGCCTAGAGTGCATAGCTTGCGTTAGAGACGGTCGTGCTTAACCGAAATATCGAAGTAAGGGACTAAGAAGGGGTAGCCTGCGCCAGAGATAGACGCGCAATTAGAAAGTACCTCCCAATTACAGCATGTACTGTAATAAGTGCAATTGCACAGTAAGTACCACCCAATTACCATCTACACGCCATACTGTAATGATTGTAATTGCATAATAAGTACCTCCCAATTACCCACAGGGTATACATCTCATTACTCCATACATATTAAAGTGTAAGTACACCTTAGGTAGTAATTACTGTATGCAATGTAGTGAATGTTATCTAAGCGTCTCCTAGTGATTACTGTTGGCAGCACGTCCTTAACTCTCGGCCGTCGTGCCTAGAGTGCTTAGCCTGCGTTAGAGACGGTCGTGCTTAACCGAAATATTGTGGTAAGGGACTAAGAAGGGGTAGCTGCGCCGGAGATAGACGCACCCAACTGAAATATCGAGGGAGGAGCTAAGAAGAGGTGGTGGAATTTTCTAGAGGATATATATAGTAGGACCCGCATCCAAATCCGTACAAATATCGTTAGCTTTAAGCCTATCGGGAGTTCTATCATCTAATATCGAAATAATCATAAAAATAATAAACATGTATAAGTGCAATTGTGGTTTAACATATACAAGGGTAGATAATTTACGTCGACATCAAAATAAAAGTTGCAAGCTGATATCTAACCGCATCGGCGAATCATCCGGAGGTACGAAGAGATCTACTACTCCCAGTAATGATGTTCCACCTGAAAAAAAAGCCCGGGTAATGCGAGTTCCACAAGTTCATACGCATCGCATCGTAGACTCAAAAGCCCATAATAGAAGATGTGAATCATGTAATGTAGATGTCCCTACCAATCAGATGACGTCGCATATGAGGAGTCTTGGGCATAAAGAAAAAGCCTGTGCAATTCATGCTGATGGTATATATTTAATTAAGAGCGCGTTTAAGTGCAGAATCGCAACTTACAGGCTTAAATGTGATGAAAAACATATAGATTATGTAACATTTTTTGATGCGATAAAATTAAGAGTATTGAAATTGTTAAAAGTTGTTCTGAAGGCCCATAATGCCATTAAAGTTAATGTAGAGGCCTTTGCTACTTATGCATTGGAGAGCCAAGATGTTTCTGAAATCAAATCTTTTAACAGCATAAATCGAATACTCGATTTGTCGACGGATTTGGATGCGGTATATGTAGACTTTAAGGACGCTGTGGTATCTCAAACTGCAGACTTTCAACATAAGGATTCAGGTATAGTAGTTTTATAATTCATAGTATAGCGTTTACTAATATATTACTAATTGTTTCAGGTTGGACATTACGGGAAGTACTATTTTTAGAAGTTAATATAAATAAGTACTCCCCATTGGGCGGCTGCTCGTACATTAAGCTCCCTAAGTTTATTGAAACCAAGAAGGGTGTAGTTAATGTCCAAAACAATGATGCGTATTGCTTTGCTTGGGCCATCACGTCGGCGCTATATCCAGCGAGGGACAATGTTCACCTAACGACATCGTATCCACACTTCGAGGCCGTGCTGAATGTTGATGGTATTGAATTCCCTATGAAGCTTAAAGACATTTCAAAATTTGAAGATTTAAATGACATAAGTGTTAATGTTTATGGTTTGGAACGTAGTTATGAAAATGGTAAGGTTAAATTCGAAATAGTAGGCCCATTACGATATTCCTCTAGGAGGTTAGGTCACCATATAAATTTACTATTAATAACGGAGGATTCAGGAAATAGTCACTATTGTTGGATTAAAAATATTTCCAGATTGGTATCGAATCAAGTAACTAGAAATGAGCACAAAAATTTTTTTTGTGACGTCTGTTTACTTTATTTCCGATCTGAAAGCATACTATTGCGGCACCAATTGCGCGATTGTAATCATATATACACCAGCACGCCATCAGTGGAGCTGAAAAAAGATAAACGCGGTAATTATGTACCTGAAAACATACTTAAGTTTCAAAATTATGATAAGCAACTTAGGGTTCCATTTGTAATTTACGCTGATTTTGAATCGATTTTAAAACCAATAGATACTTGCGAACCAGATCCGGAAAAAAAGTTTACTATCCCGACATACCAACATGAACCATATTCTTTTGCATATTTGATTAAATGTTCGTTTGATAATTCATTGACGAAATTTGTAACTTTTACGGGTGATAATGCTGGTAGCGATTTCGTGAAACGGCTAGAGGACGATGTTTTAACTATTTATAATACCTATTTAAAAGACGTTGTTCCGATGCATCAGCTGTCTAATGATGAAATAGATGATTTTAACTCGTCAACTATATGCTCTATTTGCGATGAGCCTTTTCAGGAAGGTGACGTTAAAGTAAGAGATCATTGTCATGTTACCGGTAAGAAAACACCTGGCGCCGCACATAGCAATTGTAATTTAAATTATAAAATCCCACAATTTGTTCCAATCTTTTTCCACAATTTGAGTGGGTATGACAGTCATTTATTTATTAAAGAATTGTATGGCGAAGGTGAGAGGACCGAAGTTATTGCACAAAATAAAGAAAAATATATTTCGTTCACTAAACCATTGTACACCCATAGCTATGTAGATAGAGATGGTATGTTGAGAAAAAATTACATAAAACTTAGATTTTTGGA